ACATCACTCGGCATCAGGGAAATCCAAATCAAAACCTCCATGAGATACCACCTCACACCAGTCAGAATGGCTAAAATTAACAAGTCAGGAAACGACAGATGTTGGTGAGGATGCGGAAAAAGGGGAACCCTCCTACAGTGATGGTGGGAATGCAAGCTGGTGCAGCCACTCTGGAAAACAGTATGGAGGTTCCTCAAACAGTTGAAAATAGAGCTACCCTACGACCCAGCAATTGCACCACTGAGTATTTACCCCAAAGATACAAATGTAGTGATCTGAAGGAGCACATACACCCAAATGTTTATGGCAGCAATGTCCACCATAGCCAAACTATGGAAAGAGCCTATATGTCCATCCACAGATGAGTGGATAAAGAAGATGTGGTCTATATATACAATGAAATATTATACAGCTATCAAAAAAAAAAAGAAATCTTGGGGCACCTGGGCGGCTCAGTCGTCAAGCATCTGCCTTTGGCTCAGGTCATGATCCCAGAGTCCTGGGATCAAGCCCCGCGTCAGGCTCCCTGCTCATCGGGAGCCTGCTTCTCCCTCTTCCACTCCCCCTGCTTGCGTTCCCTCTCTCACTGTGTCTCTCTCTGTCAAATAAATAAAATCTTAAAAAAAAATTAAATCTTGCCATTTACAATGATGTGGATGGAACTAGAGGGTATTATGCTAAGCAAAATAAGTCAGTCAGAGAAAGACAATTATCATATGATCTCACTGATATGAGGAATTTGAGAAACAAGACAGAGGATCATAGGGGATGGGAGGGAAAAATGAAACAAGATGAAACCAGAGAGGGAGACAAACCACAGGAGACTCTTAATCTCAGGAAACAACTGAGGGTTGCTGGAGTGGAGTGGGGTGGGAGGGATGGGATGACTGGGTGATGGAACTTGGGGAGGGTATGTGCTATGGTGAGAGCTGTGAATTGTGTAAGACTGATGAATCACAGGCCTGTACCCCTGAAACAAATAATATATTATATGTTAATAAAAATAATAATAATAATAATAATAATAAATGTGAACAACTGAGAATTTCCATATTTAAAACCAACAACAATAAAGAGAAAGGTCAAAATGAGTACAGAACAACTGATTCTGGACGAAACAAAATAATTGCAGTAAGAGAGGAGGACTTCAAAATCATTCTCATTAGTATTATAAGAAAGACTCGAGAATATATCCATTTACAAACTAGAATAAGCTAATATGCAAAAAGGGAATAACAAAATAAGTAAGAATCCATGAAACATAAGGATGCAATTATCAAAATTAAGGGAAAAAATTAGTTGAGGTGGAAGAAAAAACAATGTCTCCCAAAATGTAAAGCAATAAAACCTAGAGGTGTAAATATCTTTTTTTAAAGTCAAGAATAAGATATAAATCCACAAAAAGATGGAAAAACATTCCATGCTCATGGATCAGAAGAATAAACATTGTTAAAATGTCTATGCTACTCAGAGCAATCTATACCTTCAATGCCACCTGATCAAAATTCCAATGACATTTATCAAAGTGCTGGAACAAACAATCCGAAAATTTGTATGGAATCAGAAAAGACCCCGAATTGCCAAGGAAATGTTGAAAAAGAAAAACAAAGCTGGGAGCATCATGTTGCCTGATTTCAAGCTATATTACAAAGCAGTGATCACCAAGACAGCATGGTACTGGCACAAAAACAGACATAAAGACCAATGGAACAGAATAGAGAGCCCAGATATGGACCCTCAACTCTATGGTCAAATAATCTTTGACAAAGCAGGAAAAAATATGCAATGGAAAAAAGACAGTCTCTTCAATAAATGATGCTGGGGAAATTGGACAGCCACATGCAGAAGAATGAAACTAGACCATTCTCTAACATCATATACAAAGATAAACTCAAAATGGATGAAAGACCTCAATGCAAGACCATCAAAATCCTTGAGGAGAACATAGGCAATAACCTCTTTGACATCAGCCATAGCAATTTCTTTCAAGATACATCTCTAAAAGCTAGTGAAACTAAAGCAAAAATGAACTTTTGGGACTTCATCAAGATAAAAAGCTTCTGCACAGCAAAGGAAACAGTCAACAAAACAAGGAGGCAACCCACAGAATGGGAGAAGATATTTGCAAATGACACTACAGATAAAGGGCTGGTATCCAAGATCTATAAAGAACTTCTCAAACTCAACACCCAAAAAACAAATAATCAAGTCAAAAAATGGGCAGAAGACATGAACAGATGCTTCTCTGAAGAAGACATACAAATGGCTAACAGACACATGAAAAAATGTTCATCATCATTAGCCATCAGGGAAATTCAAAGTAAAACCATATTGAGAAACCACCTTACACCAGGTAGAATGGCAAAAATTGACAGGGCAAGAAACAACAAATGTTGGAGAGGTTGTGGAAAAAGGGGAACCCTCTTACACTGTTGGTGGGAATGAAGTTGGTACAGCCACTTTAGAAAACAGTGTGGAGGTGCCTCAAAAAATTAAAAATAGAGCTACCCTATGACCCAGCGATTGCACTCCTGGGTATTTACCCCAAAGACACAGATGTAGTGAAAAGAAGGGCCATATGCACCCCAATGTTCATAGCAGCAATGTCCGTAATAGCCAAACTGTGGAAAGAGCCGAGATGTCCTTCAACAGATGAATGGATAAAGAAGATATGGTCCAGGGGAGGAGGCTGGGAGGATGGGTTAGCCTGGTGATGGGTATTAAAGAGGGCACGTTCTGCATGGAGCACTGGGTGTTATGCACAAACAATGAATCATGGAACATTACATCAAAAACTAATGATGTAATGTATGGTGATTAACATAACAATAAAAAATTTTTTAAAAAAGATGTCGTCCATATACACAATGGAATATTACTCAGCCATCAGAAAAGATGAATACCCAACTTTTACATCAACATGGATGGGACCGGAGGAGATGATGCTCAGTGAAATAAGTCAAGCAGATAAAGTCCATTATCATATGGTTTCACTTATTTGTGGAACATAAGGAACAGCATGGAGGACATTAGGAGAAGGAAGGGAAAAATGAAGGGGTGGAAATCAGAGGGAGAGACGAACCATGAGAGACTATGGATTCTGAGAAACAAACTGAGGGTTCTAGAGGGGAGGGGGGTGGGGGGATGGGTTAGCCTGGTGATGGGTATTAAGGAGGGCTCGTACTGCATGGAGCACTGGGTGTTATATGAAAACAATGAATCGTGGATCACCGCATCAAAAACTAATGATGTAAAAACTAATGATGTATTGTATGGTGACTAACATAATAAAATAAAATTTAAAAAAAAAGATATAAATCCACGAGGTCCAACATCCATCTAAGGAGGATCTTAAACAAAAGAACAAAGAACAAAGGAGGAGAAATAATCAAATAGTAGAAGGAAATCCCTAGAGCCGAAAACACGACTCTTCAGCAGTTGTGGTTCAGCAAAAATGAAAAATAACTCAGAAACACAACTTCACTAAAGGTCAGTACATCTCAATGGGTGCCTCTTTTCAATTCTTTTCTCTGGATCCTCTTCTCTTTGATCTCTAAATTATATGTATGCAAGGGCTTATTATTTTCACTTCTTTGTCTCTGCTGTATTTCACTCATTCACTAAATGATCTCACCTAAACTTATCATTTTGAGGGGTGCTTGGGTGGCTGAGTCGGCTAAGCATCTGACTCCTAATTTCAGCTCAGGTCATGATCTCAGGGTCATGATACTGAGCCCCCCGTCAGGGTCCACACTCAGCAGAGAGTCTGCTTGAGGATTCTTTCTCTCTCCCTCTGCCCCTCATCGCACTCGTGCTCTCTTTCTAAAAAAATAAATAAATCTTTAAAAATAAATAAATAATGAACTCATTACTTTGAATGTCATCTATACATTGATAACCCAAATTACATCTCTCATTCTCAAAGCAATGCAGTTTTTAAGAGCATGAGATTGCCTCTCTTTGTCTATGGCACAAACACTGCATGTTCTACAGTAAATAATATTTACATGATATTTTAAATGTTGAATATTGGTTTCCATTTTCAAATTAAACTATAAAAGACTTAATTTGCCTAACTTAATTGTAAATTCTGTAAACCTTGAAAATGTGAAAGTAATGCAAAACAGGAATTAACAGGTGGGAGTAGATGTGGAAGAAAATACAAGGACAACAAATCTGACTTACCCAGTAGAAAATCAAGAAGCACTATCAAAAACTATCAAGAAATGGGATTTTTATGAAGTTAAATAACAAAAGAAGTTTTTAAATGAGCTGGCAGGAAGTGGGAGTGGGGAAAGAAGACAAGTGTATGTGAACTTGGTATCTTTCATGCCACAGATGGGAAACAATAGCTTTTTTAAATTGATACATTAACAAATAAAGTGTATGAATATTATTTAAGACTTGGAATTAAACTCCAGAAAAACTAACCATAAAATCATTGGAAATAATTACTTCCGATGAGTGGTAATGAAGGAGAGTGTATCGAACCTTACTTTTCAGTTAGCATCCTCCTTAGGGTTTGAATTTTTATTATGGCACATATTGCCAGCATAATAATTAAATAAATAAATATATTAATAACAGAGCAAATGATCACATCTAATCTAGTTTTATGTCTACAGTTTCACACATTTATCTGAATAAAAGTTTATAAAGAGACACCAATTTTTGTTTCAGTGTCGGTTGGTAAAATAAAAGATAAATGCTGACCTGGGAACCACTATGAAAGTACAAAGACTAGCTAAGTACAATTCGGTCAAAATATGTTGATGCCAGAGTATGTAATTAATAAAAGAACTCTATACAAAGGATCCTTCACATCTAGAACCAGAAAAGCTCACACAGTGATTCACTGTAATTTATCTCCTTAAAGTACTGCAGGTCTATACGCCCCTCCAAAGGGAAACACTGCTGTTTTGGACACAGTAAACACATCCATTGTCCTAATACTACCTCTCGTCCTATCTCTATGCTTATAAACATGGCACTATTTTTACCTTGAGTAATGCATGGCTTGGTGGCCTGCAATATTAAAATAGAAGTCTGTGGTATGCTTCATCTCATTGGTGTGCCCAGTTGACTCAATCCAGTGTCCTATTGGGAGACAATAAACACCATCCACCAAGTTGTTTTCATTATAAGTACAGCAACGGTCATGGTGAGGTCCACTGCCTGGAACAAGAAGAAATGACAAACAGAGCAATTAAATCAATGTTTTGCTTAAGCAGCCACAGAGTAGGTGATGCAAAATTAATAGGAAGAAGAAAATAAATATAAAGCTGCTTAATGCACACATTTCGGTATGAACAAAAAGAGACTAGAGGGGAAAAACAGAAAAAATTTGTAATTACATACGAATTTCATAGAGTTCTGTGCTCCCTTGGAATACATGCATATTTCCAAAAGCATATTAACTCTCAGAGTTTAATGGAACCTCTCAGTGCCCTAACTACCCGTTGTGAGTCATTCTGCAGCCTTTTTATCTTTCTGGTATGCAAATTCATAACTAAAATCAGTAATAAAAATGAATCAGTAATAAAGTGTTTTAGTATCAGCTCAAACAAATGAATTTTCAAAATAAATACATTAATAAATAATAAAACAAATGATCACATCCAACCTAGTCTGCATGTAAATCAGTGGTTAGTACTTTTTTCAGATGGGAAATTATCACAGAGATTAGCTACGTTGCCCAAGGTCACAAAACTAGCAAGTGCCAAGCTAGTAGCAAACTGATACCCCTAGATCCCCATCTTTCAGGCACCTGATACCTTCATGCTGTTTTCTGCCTACTTCACAAGCACCAGTACACACCATCCTCCCTCCATGGAGTGAACCAAAAGAGAGAGAAATGGAAGAACTGTCTCTGAAAATACTATTTGCCTACATCACATTCCGCCCAGTATCAACTACACTAGTACACATATCTTTTACTTCTGTGAAATTATAATTCATATATTATTTCCAATCACCCTTATGTGACCACCCCATTTCAGATCATTCCTTTCCTTCAACTACCTAATTTCCTATGCTGTCTTTAATACACACACAAAAAAGTAAGCAAAATAAAAATAGGAGTAAGTCACGTTTGCTACAAATATAAAAATCTGACTCATCTGTCCCTTGCTCTATCTTATAAAATATTGTACCTAAAGTTATTTGGCATAAAATCTCAAAAACAAAGAAATCCTTAAGTCATTGGGCAATTCTTTAGGATATAACTCCCTTCCATCAGGTAGGAGGTACAAGATGGCTCCCTTAATAAATCACCACTGATCTCCCTAGATCAGACTTCTCTTTTTCTCTTGATGGCTACACTACAAGGCACTACACCAACTGGTTCTTTACCCTTGATATTTAATAGATGAAAACCAAACTATACTAGCAACCCCACTTCTAGAAACATATCAAACAGAAATATAACAAGAATAAAAAAGATACATAGAGATACATGTGTGAACAATACTATTTTAATAGCACACACTCAACTATATAAATTCATCTATTCATTTTTCCACAAATACTTATTAAATGTCATCTACAGGATCTACACTGTGCTAAGTCATGTTAAGGATTTTGGTATTTACCGTAGGAACAAGAAAAAAATTAAATATTTTAAGTAGGCAGGTAACATGACCAAATTTTTATTTTAAAAGTACCTTTCTGGTTACAGAGTAAAAATTTAATTCAGATACAATAAGACTAAAGCAAAAAGTCCATTTAAGAAACTACTGGTCTAGCCCAGACAGAAGATGACAAAAGCCTGGAAGTAGAAACGGAAACAAGTGGGCAGATTCAGGAAGGAAAAACCACAGGGTGGATATGGGAGGTGCAGAAGAAAGGGAGGCAACAATGACTCTAGGCTTCTGGCAAATAGAACTCAATATACGGTGGTACCATTCACTAAGATGTGAAATCTGTAAGAGGTTGGAAGGGAAGACCACCAGTCTGGTTTTTGGACTTGAAGTGCCATTTGTATACAAAAAGAGATGTTAAGTACAGAGTTGGCATTATCGGTTTGACACTCAGACCGGAGATCTGAAGTAGAAAAATAAATTTATGAGTCATCTAAGTGTAAATGGCAATTGAGGCAAGGATTTAGATGAGTCACAAAGAAAAACAATAGTAATGCAGAAGAAAAGGTTTCTAGAACCAAGTCTGAAAGCATCCCAATATTTAATAGCTGCATAAAGAAGGAGGAGCTTACAAAGAAGGCATAGAAAGAGAAGGTGGAGGGAAAGACTAGGAGTGAGTAAGGGAGGCGGGGGAACATGACTGAATGTGTAAATAGATCCTAAACACTGAGTGAATGCATGTCTGATTGTTAATAGTTACATCTGGAGAATGGAATTGGGATGAAGAGGACCATTTTACTCTAAACTAATCTGAATTTGTTGGGATGTGTCATAAAGCACAAGTATTATTTTTTGGTTTAATAAAAGAATAATATCTGTGGTTCCCACTGTTCAGTACAATAGACTTACAACAATTTATTTATTTACTTTTTATTTTAAGTAGACTCCATGCCTAATGTGGGGCTTGAACTCTTGACCCTGCGATCAACAGTCAGGTGCTCTACTGACTGAGCCAGCCAGGTGCCCCTAGACTAATGACAGTTTAAAGATTTTTTATTTATTTATGTATGTATGTATTTATTTATTTATTTATTTATTTATTTATTTATTTATTTTAGAGAGAGACAGTGAGTGCAAGCAAGAAGAGGAGCAGAGGGAGAGGGAGAGAGAGAAAACTAAGCAGACTCCATGCTGAACACAGAACCTGACTGGGGGGTGGGGGGGCTTGATCTCACATCCCTGAGATCATGACCTGAGCCAAAACCAAGAACTGGATGCTTAACCGACTGAGCCACCCATGTACCCTGAGACTTACAACAATTTAAATGTTACAACTTAAACACAATTATTAAGGAGCTCAAATGTACACAAATTATAAAGTTTAAGAAAAATTATTTATATAACATCAACTTCCTAAGAATTCTTCATTCCTGGAATTAGTTTTTTGAATTACTCATTTTTACACATACGTGTTTTAGGAGAAATAACAAAACACTTCTATTTCTTTCAGCCAGGGAGGTATCAGTGGAGGCCTAATGGAGAGCCAGAACTCCCACCTCACTCAGTAGTAATAAAGTCAATCCCTTCAGTTGTCAATAGGTGGGGAGGTACCCCCATCCTCCTACGGGAGCAGAGCTAGAGGAATCCAGTTAAACCAGAAGATTTGAATAAGAACCAGGGTCACATTATAAAATACTCAAAATGTCCAGGTTTCAATAGAGTCACTCCTTATATCAAAAATCACAAAGATCTCAAACTGAATAAAAATTAAAAATGTCTGCAAGATGCCAACATCCGATGACAGAGATGTTAGAATTATCTGAAAAAAAAGAATTAGCTGAAAAAGCTTCAACAACCCATTTTTTTTATTTTTTAAAGATTTTATTTATTTGACAGAGATAGAGAGAGAACACAAGTAGGCAGAGTGGCAGGTAGAGAGAGAGGGAGAAGCAGGCTCTCTGCTGAGCAGACAGTGCAACACAGGGCTCCATCCCAGGGCCCTAGGATCATGACCTGAGCCGAAGGCAGCCATTTAACCAACTGAGCCACCCAGACACCCCAACAACCCATTTTTAAAAAATGAACCAAGTATATGATGTCTAGAAGAAATTCACTTCAAATTATATGCAGGTGGAAAGTAAAAATGTAGAAAAAGATATACCATGCAAACATTAATCAAAAGAAAGAACAGGTGGTTATGTTAATATCATATAAAGTAGAACCTTCAGAGCAAAGAAAATTACTAGACATAGAGAGGGAAATTATATGATGTTAAAAGTATCAATCTATCAAGAAGCTATAAGAATTCTAAATGTGTACACAACAAAAAACAGAGCTGCAAAATATGTGAAACTAAAAACTAAGACAACTGAATGGAGAACAGACAAGTCTGGAATTAAAGTTGGAAATTTCAACACCCCTCTCTCAACAATTCATAGAACAACTAGACAAAAAATCAGCAAGGAATAAAATAACATCACTGTCAACCAATGGACTCTAACTGACATCTATAGACACACCACCCAACAATAGCAGAATGTACATTTTCAAGTGTGCACAGAACATATACCAAGCTAAATCATATCCTGGGCCATAAGACAATATCAAAACTTTAGAATTAAATCACACAAAGTGTTTTCCCTGACCTCAACAGAATCAAACTGGAAATCAATAACATAATAGAAAAATATTCAAATAGTTGGAAACTAATATACATACTTCTAAATAATCTGTGGGTCAAAAAGGAAGTCTCAAAGTTATTAAAAATACATTGCAATGAATGAAAATCAAAATAATATGTGTCAAAATATGTGGGACACAGCTAAAGCAGTTCTGTGAGGGAAATTTATAGTACTAAATATATACAGTAAAAATAGGAAAAGTTTCAAATCAATCTAGCTCCACTTCAAGAAATTAGAAAAAGAAGAGCAAAATAAATCCAAGGCAAACAGAAGGAAAGAAATAATAAAGAATGGAAATCAATGAAATTAAAAACAGAAAAACATTAGAGAAAATCAATGAAATAAAGAGCTGATTTGTTGAAAAGATCATTAAAACTGGCAAACCTCTAACAAGACTGGCAAAGAAAAGCAAGAAAAGGCACAAATTATGAAAGGAAGGAAGGAAAAGAGAGAAAAGAAGGGATATCACTATAGACCTTGCAGGCATCAAAAGTATAATACTATAAAAAACAAAACACATAAATTTAACAACTTAAATGAAATGGACTATCCTAAAAAACAAATTACCACAACTAATTTAATATGAAATACAAATTGAACATCCATATAACTCTTAAGGATATTGGATATATAATTTTAAAACCCCCCCCAAAAAAGAAATCTCAAAGCCCATGTGGTTTGAATGAAGAATTCTACCAAATGCTTAAAGAAGAATCCATACCAATGCTATACAATCTCTTCAACATAGTACATGGGCATAAAGATAAAAGAAATAAAGAAAACTGTACTTTATTTGCAGATGACATGACTGTCTATGAAGAAAATCCCAAGGAATCAATAATAATTGTTTAAAATCTCCTAAAATAAGAGAGCTTAGCAAGGCCACAAGATAAAGATAAGCATGCAAAATAAATTG